CAACAAAGCGCGCAAGAACGCTAAGAGGGTAAGCTAGGTCTGGGCGAGTACATGTCATCAGGTACATGAGACAACCCACCAGCTCAGGATATGGACCACTGGACTCAAATGGCTCGTCCGAAGGTGGAGCCGTGAGCCGATGATCCACAGCAAGAGGGGTGGGCTGTACCTTGGAGAACGGGAAGCGAAACCGCGTGAGGATCTGCTCGACCATATGCGACTGCGTCAGCGTAATGGTGCGAGCTGCCCTGTCCCTGGTGATCTGTAGGCCAAGGTAGCGCTGCAGCTCACCAAGGTCAGTGCAAGTGTGTCTCCTCTGCAGTTCCTCCTTCACGGAGGCCAGTGCGCGTCGGTCGGGAGTGGCGAAGACCAGGTCGTCAACGTAGACCAGCACAAAGAACGGGGTCGAGCCACGGCGGACAAACAGCGACGGGTCAGCAGACGACGGAAAGAAGTCAAGCGCTGCAAGTGTCGTGCGAAGTGTGTCGTGCCACTCACGAGGAGCCTGTCGCAGGCCGTAGACCGGTCGACGCAGCTGCCACTGGGTCCCAGGTGGGAAAGAGCCAGTGAAGCCAGGAGGTCGACGCAGCCAGATCTGCTCGTGCAAACTCCCCTGAAGAAACGCGGTGGAGAAGTCCAAGGAGTGCAACTCGTAGTCGCGCTGTGCTGCAATATGCAGCAACACCCGAAGAGTGGTCATCTTCGGGGTGGGAGCGAAGGTCTGAAAGAAGTCTACCCCTTCTCGCTGGCTGAAGCCTCTCGCCACGTAGCGCGCCTTGAAGACGGGTGGTGCTCCAGGCGGCCGCTTCACCTTGTAGAGCCACATGCCACTGACAACGTTCGCCCCAGGTGGTGGGACGGCGTCGACGTAGGTGCCTGTGGACCTATAAGATGCTATCTCTGCCTCCTCAGCTGCTATCCAGTACGAAGCCCAGGGTCCCGAGACCGCCTCAGCGTGAGTGCGAGGGATCGGGATGTCAAGGGCGTCTGGATCCCCCTCAGGGGCAAGCAGCATGGCGCAGAGATGAGGAACAGCGGCCGCAAGGAAACCAAGCTCGAACTGCCTGTCCTCCAGGACCTCCAACGGAAAGATAGGAGCACCCCCAGAGGACGGAGAACGAGCAGGGCCACCCACCAAGTGAGCGGTATAGTCAAGGCGGTGGGAAGAGGCAAAGTTAGCGACAGTGGTAACAAATGCTGAGACAGTCGACAAGGGTGCAGTCGGGTGAGTGACCAACACGGACAAAACACGTGAGACGACAAGACGGGAGGCACGGAGGTAGTCGGACAACGGGTCGTGAAACACAGTGAAGGACGACTCAGGAGGCTGTGGAAGGACAGGTGGAGACGGAACACGAGAGCGAAGAACAAGGTGAAACGGGCGGTCGGCACGGTAACGGGACCGACGAGGCTCTGGGGACACAGCACGACTGACAGGAGAACGACGAGTCCACTGGGACGAGGAAAGGGACTCGACAGGGGGAACAGGAAGGGACGGTAGGGGACCACGAACAAAGCGTGCAGGTGCTGAGTCGGGCAGGTCTCTCAGTCGCTGCTGCTCCGCCTCCTCTGGCGATAGCTGTTGCGATACCTGCCCCCGCCGCAGCTCCTGCGGCTCCTCCTCTACTCTCTCCTGCTGTGGCTGCAACAACACCTGCTGCTGCGGCCGCAACTGCACCTGCTGCTGCGGGCGGGACTCCTGCTCTACTCTCTCCTGCTGTGGCTGCAACTGTACCTGCTGCGGCTGTCGTGACTCCTCCTCTACTCTCTCCTGACGCTCCGACTGATACTGTCGCCGCTGCTGCTGTTGCTGCTGCTGCTGCTGCTGCTGCTGCTGCTGCTGCTGCTGTGACTCTTCCTCTACCCTCTCCTGGTGCTCCGAGTGAGGCTGCTGCTGCTGCCGTGACTCCTCCTCTACTCTCTCCTGACGTGGCTGTGACTCCTCCTCTACTCTCTCCTGACGCTCAGACTGAGACTGCTGCTGCTGCTGCTGCCGTGACTCCTCCTCTACTCTCTCCTGACGCTCCAACTGAGACTGCTGCTGCTGCTGCTGCTATGCCCTCTCAAACCGCTCCCGCTCCTCCCTCTCCAAACGAACAAGACGCTGCTCTTGTCAGGAAACGGACAGTGCGCGGTGTAGGCCCCGAGGTGGCAACGCCTCCAGCTCCAGCACCCCCAGAACCAGGACCTCCACCGACAACACCCCCAGGGCCTCCAGGACCTCCAGCAGGAACACCCCCAGACTCCTCAGCGACCGGCTGCGGAGGCGAACGGGGAGGGAACTGCGGGACTAACGGGAAGCCTGGGGGTGAGGCGGGGCGAGGCTGTCGACTCGAGGCAGCAGTGTCCTCCACTAGAGGGGCCTCCATACCCACACCCCCTGCACCCCCAGAGCCAGAGCCACCAGCTCCAGCAGCCCCAGTAGCCTCACCCCCTGCAGCTGCACCTCCCGCACCCCCAGACACGACAGAGACTGGACGCTGCGGGGGAGACAACTGCGGAGTGACGTGCGATACACCTGACGGGGCAGGACGCGAAGGGGGGGGGGACTATCGGGGCGACTGGGGGGGGGGTCAGTGGTGAGGAAGAGCGGCGGGGAAAAGGTCTCAGAACCTCGGTGGGGGCGACTCCTGTAGTAACTGACCGACTCGTCGAAAGTGACGTCATGGGAACTGAAGAACTGGTAGGTAACAGGGTCGTAGAATTGCCAGCCGGTGGTGTCGAGTGGGAAGCCAAGAAAGACGCAGGCACGGGTGCGCGGAGACAACTTGTTCGCGCCAGGGGCGCGAACGTGGGCCAGGGAACCCCAGACGTGGTAGTCAGCTGCTACACCCGGAGAACCTGTCCAAAGGGAGACCGGCGTCACCCGTGGCCGTGCGTCCGCCACACAATGATTTCGAGTGAATGAAAAGGCAGACACCAACTTGTGTTGTCCAATAAGATTGGACGCCACATCACAGTAAGATTTTCACCACATTCCGTAGTGACCACGTGTTTCCGTGTGTCAAAACTAGTCAGTGAGAAACAAGAATGAAGAAAGGAGAGTTGAACTAGCAACAGTTGGGATACAAATACCGGTAGGAAACCCTAAGGGGCCGTACTCACTATAGAGTACCCCACTGCAGGCTAGACAAGCATTATAATCTGACACACCCCCATAGTCAAAGTGGGGTATAATCAGCAGAACAAGCAGTCATAGAGCAGGTTCACAAGTGCAAGCAAAGCTAGAGGCATTCACAAAGGGCAAGTGAGGAGGAGGAGGCGGGACTGTAAGAGGAGAGGAGATAGGAGGGGACGGCTGAAGCTGCAGACACACGGGCAACAGGAGCGGCTGGCACAGTGGCTACCGGGACAGCGCCCTGGACTACTGGAGTAACTGGCTCGGCGGCTACGAAGAGCGGCAGGAGCAACGGACCCACGGGCGACAGGCGCAGCAGGCTCTCTGGGCTACCAGGACAGCGCCCCGGACTACAGGTGCTGCGGACGACAAGACGGCTACCTCCGCTCAACCTCCCCCGACCGTCCCACACCCCTCTCACACACCCCCTGCTGAAACCCTAGCTCCACTCCCACGGCACCCCCCTTAAACCCTAAACCCTCGGCTCCCACACACCCACCCCCCTCAACGGCAGCTGCAGTAGTGGGAGACGGAGGAGTAGGAGGAGCTGCAGGTTACCCACACCGTTCACCCCCATGCCCGCCACCCCCAAACCCTAACGCAGGCAGGAGCGCGGGAAGCAGCAGGGGCGGTTCACAGAGGGAAAGGGAGGCGGCGGGGGGGTCTCCTGAGCGCCACGAAGGAGCAGGGCGCGGGCCCCCTGAGGGCGCCACGGCGGGTGACGGGAGGGGGGCCGCGCACGGGCCCCCGAGGGCGGCTCGACGGGCGACGGGAGGGGCCGCGCGCGGGCCCCCAAGGCGCCGCGACAAGGCGACGGGAGGGGGCGGCGCGCGGGCCCCCAAGGCGCCGCGACGAGGCGACGGGAGGGGGCGACGCGCGGGCCCCCAAGGTGCCGCGACGAGGCGACGGGAGGGGGGGACGCGCGGGCCCCCAAGGCGCCGCGACGAGGCGACGGGAGGGGCCGGCGCGCGGGCCCCCAGGGCGCCGCGACGAGGCGACGGGAGGAGGGTGACGCGCGGGCCCCCAGGGCGCCGCGACGGGCGATGGGGGGCAACGCGCAGGTCCCCGGGGGCGCCACGACGGGCAGAAAACCGCCGCGCGAAGCAGGAAACCGCCGCGCGCCTCGGGGCGCACGGCGGGCAGAAAACCGCCGCACGCCCCGAGCGCACGGCGGGATGAAAAACGCCACGCGCTCCGAGCGCGCGGCACGAAGAAAGGGTCGCGCGCCCGGGGCGCGCGACAACAGTAGAGCAGCGGAAGGCGCCCAGGGCGCGCGACAACAGTAGAGCAGCGGAAGCATCGGGTGGGGCCCACCCACAGGATCGACCCAGGAGGGTCGACCTACTCTGATAGCATGTCAAAACTAGTCAGTGAGAAACAAGAATGAAGAAAGGAGAGTTGAACTAGCAACAGTTGGGATACAAATAGGAAACCCTAAGGGGCCGTACTCACTATAGAGTACCCCACTGCAGGCTAGACAAGCATTATAATCTGACACCGTGGTGTCGAACTGGCGTTGACGACATGAGCGAAAATGCACGAACATCTTCATCGCACAACCCCTACCGCAGAAGCGAATTTCTACTCTGGTGCAAATGCACACCACACCAATTAAAACATCAGCTGGTAACCAGGGCGTTCGCCATTGGCTGAGCGCTGATTGCGTGGATTCTGGGTAAGGGGGAAGGGAGATCTCCGAGCATCGAAACTCGCAGGAAATCACACCACACAGCCCCATCACTGATGCCTTCCAACCAGTTCCCTCACGAGCATTTTGGTTCAAAAGGTCGCTAGCAATTCAGCATTCAGCAGAAGCAGAAGCTCAGTTTCAGTTTATTATTTCAACCCTCAACAGCTTCCCTTCTCAGCACAGACACACAACATGGCTGCTCTTGCCAACGCTGCCGTGCTCCCCTCCACCTTCGTCGGCCAGAGCGCTGAGCTTGCCGCCAAGGTGAACAATGTCGAGGCCCGCGTGACGATGAGGAAGACAGCCAAGGCAGCTTCCAGCAGCGCCTTCTACGGCCCCGACCGCAGCCTGTTCCTGGGCCCGTACTCCTCCCCCCCGTCGTACCTCACCGGCGAGTACGCTGGCGACTACGGCTGGGACACCGCCGGCCTGTCCGCTGACCCCGAGACCTTCGCCAAGAACCGCGAGCTGGAGGTAAGCCTACCGGAAGCCTACCGGACCCCGAGACCTACCGCAGAGAACCCCATTTTCTGTGGCCGTTTGCGGTTCGGTACGCGGCGCATCAGATCAACCTTCACCCCAGGGTCTCCATGCCGGAGACCTCCCCAGCTTTGCTGTGGACGGGGAAGGTTGGCGATGCGTCTGCGTTCCGTGTCTGGGGATCTCGGGCGTTTGTCCGCGACTTGTCTGCGGACAAGCTGTCCCCTCGTGCTGCTCCTTGCGTCTTCCTTGGCTTCCCCCCTGACGCGCCAGGGTGGCAGTTCTACCACCCCACCTCTCGCCGTGTTCTGTCCTCCCAGGACGTCACGTTTGACGAGTCGGTCCCCTACTACCGCCTCTTCCCCTACCGCACTCCGTCCCTCCCCCCGCCACCGCTCTTCCTTGTGCCAGGCCCCCCCCCGGTAGACCCCCTCCCCCCTCAGGGTCCTGCCCCTTCAGGTGTGTCCCAGGTAGACGCCGTCGAGCCTGTCGAGGTTACTGGTGACTCTGGTGCTGCTGAGGGTGCTGAGCCTGGGGGTGCTGACTCTGGGGGTGCTGAGCGTGTGGGTGCTACGCCTTGGGGTGCTGAGCCTGAGGGTGCTACTCCTGGGGGTGCTGAGCCTGGGGGTGCTGAGCCTGGGGGTGCTGAGCCTGGGGGTGCTGAGCCTGGGGGTGCTGAGCCTGGGGGTGCTGAGCCTGGGGGTGCTACGCCTGGAGGTGCTGAGCCTGGGGGTGCGGAGCCTGAGGGAGCTGGGCCTGCTCGTGTGGCGTCTGGCGGTGCTGAGCCTGGAGGTTCTCCGGGTGCTTCGTCTCGGCGGGAGCCACTCTCTCCACAGGAGCTGCGAGAGTGGTTTGCCCGGCGCTGGAGGCGTGCTGCTGGAGCTGGAGGTTCTTCGGCTGCTGAGGGTGCTGGTGCCGCGGGTCCCGGAGGTGCTCGTACTGGGAGTACTGGAGCTGCTGGGCCTGCGGGTACGACTGGAGCTGGAGCTGCTGAGGGTGTTGGCGCTGAGGCTACTGCTGTCGGTCCTGGAGGCGGTCCTGCTGGGGGTGCTACTGGTGCTGCTGGAGGTACTGGAGCTGGAGGTGCTGCTGGCGCTGGTGCTGCCGCTGGGGGTACTGGTGCTGTCCCTGCTGTGTCTGGAGTCGCCGCGCGGCCTCGGCCGTACTTCGTTCCGCTCCTTCAGCAGGTTCTTGGTCTCCCGCCTTCTACTGGTCCTCCTCCTCCCTTAGAGTGTCCACAGCCTGTCCCGTCACAGTTACAGTTACAGCCGGCCTCCCCACTGCCCGCTCCTTCTCCCTACACTGGTCCTACTGGAGGTCTGGCTGAGCGTCATGAGCCTGCGTCTCGCCCTGCGTCACCTGTCCGTCTTGCTCGCACTAGTGGTCGTGGTTCGCGTCAGCGTCCTCCTCCTGTCCCTGGCACGCACCGGATGTCTCTGCGTCCGTCCACTGCTCCTCTGCGTGCCCCTTTGCCTTCTCCTCCTGAGTCCTCTCTTCCTGCTCTTCCCGACCCGGAGTCGGACTCTCTTCGTGCTGCCAGTCCTACTGTCACGCGTCTCCTTGCTACTGTCGTCACTGACCCTTCCTTTGAGTCCACTGCTGCGTCTGCCCTAGTTGCTGAGCTCGTCGACTTTGCTGCTCGCTGTCGTCTAGACTACGCTGCTAGTCTTGTCGTTGAGTCTGAGTCTGTCTGTCCTCCGTCCGTCGGGGGTGAGTGTGCCCTTGGCACGGACGTCCTTGAGGACAGGCAGGAGGAGTTCCAGTGTTTGGCTGCTGCTTCACCTCATCTCGTGTCCGTACTGCTTACCCCTGAGGGAGACCCGGATGCACTTGACATCCCGACTCCGCGCTCTTTCGCGGAGGCGATAGAGGGTCCCTACTCCTCTCAGTGGCAGGCAGCTATGGACACAGAGATGGCTTCCTGGAAGTCCACAGGCACCTACGTTGACGAGGTTCCCCCGCCTGGGGCGAACATCGTCAGTGGCATGTGGATTTTCAGGGTGAAGCGACCGCCGGGTTCTCCGCCTGTCTTCAAGGCGCGTTACGTGGCTCGTGGCTTCAGTCAGCGGCAGGGAGTTGACTACTTTCAGATCTTCTCTCCCACCCCGAAGATGACCACTCTTCGGGTACTGCTGCACATAGCTGCTCACCGCGACTACGAGCTGCACTCTCTTGACTTCAGCACTGCTTTCTTGCAGGGCAGCCTGCACGAGGAGATCTGGCTGCGTCGCCCACCTGGCTTCACTGGGTCTTTTCCTCCTGGCACCCAGTGGAGCCTCCGGCGGCCAGTCTACGGTCTCCGCCAGGCACCGCGTGAGTGGCACGACACACTGATGACTACACTTGCGGCTCTTGGGTTTGCTCCCTCTACTGCCGACCCGTCGCTGTTTCTGCGCACCGACACTTCTTTGCCGCCGTTCTACATCCTCGTGTACGTCGACGACTTGGTCTTTGCCACAGCTGACACTGCTGGACTCGCCCACGTGAAGTCCGAGCTGCAGAAGAGACACACGTGCACAGACCTGGGTGAACTGCGCAGCTACCTTGGCTTGCAGATCACCCGGGACAGAGCACGCTGCACCATTACCCTGACTCAATCATTCATGGTGCAGCAGGTCCTTCAACGCTTCGGCTTCACGTACTCCTCGCCTCAGGCCACTCCTCTGCCTACTCGCCACTCGCTCTCAGCTCTGCCTTCGGATGAGTCCGTAGAGTCGAGTAGCCCGTACCCAGAGCTTGTTGGCTGCCTCATGTACCTGATGACCTGCACACGACCTGACCTCGCATACCCTCTTAGCATTCTCGCACGCTATGTTGCTCCTGGGAGACACAGACCGGAGCACATGGCTGCAGCGAAGAGGGTGTTGCGTTACTTGTGCAGTACGTCGGGCATGGGGCTTGTGCTTGGAGGGCAGAGTCCAGTGGTCCTCACTGGGCACGCAGACGCTTCTTGGGCTGACGACCAGGCTACGCAGCGGTCGTCACAGGGTTACACCTTCAGCCTTGGTTCCGGCTCTGTTTCGTGGCGGGCTACCCGCTCGTCTTCTGTTCTCGGCTCCAGTTGTGAGGCTGAGATCTACGCTGGGGCCATGGCTGCACAGGAGCTTCGCTGGCTCACCTACCTGCTGACTGACCTCGGAGAGCCGCCTCGTTCTCCTCCAGTGCTGTACGTAGACAACAAGGCCATGCTGGCCTTGTGTCGAGAGCAGAGACTGGAGCACAGAACGAAGCACATTGCTCTCCGCTACTTCCTTGCTCGTGAGCTACAGCAGCGTGGTCAGCTGCGGCTTGCGTACGTGGCCTCTCAGGCCAACACTGCTGATATCTTCACCAAGGCACTTGCGCCTTGTGATCATCAGCGCTTCTGTACTCAGCTGGGTCTTGTGCCCACCTTGCCTCACTTGCTCACCCCTTGACCTTGTTTGTACTGATGCATATATATATACACCTGCTCTTGCTTGTCTAGCCTTATATATATATGTAATCCTGCATGTGAACTGGCCTTGTGGCCTTGAACTTGTGCTCGGAATGTGTGGTGACTTTGTGATCCACCCTGAGCTTGCTTTGCTTTGCTTGACTGGTCTTGTGACCCCTTGTTCTCCCCCACTTTGCCTATGGGGGTGTGTCAGATTTATATGACATAGCTACTGTAGGCTATAGTGGGGTAGCACATATGGGGTACAGTTTTCTAGGGTTCACATTTGTACCCAACTTTCCCTTAGTCAATCCATTCCTCGTTTCTTCTCACTACGGCCCCGACCGCAGCCTGTTCCTGGGCCCGTACTCCTCCCCCCCGTCGTACCTCACCGGCGAGTACGCTGGCGACTACGGCTGGGACACCGCCGGCCTGTCCGCTGACCCCGAGACCTTCGCCAAGAACCGCGAGCTGGAGGTAAGCCTACCGGAATCTGTAACAGCACAAACGCGTTTCTCACGAATGAATATTCATCGCTCAACGAACCACGGACATTAGATGGTTTAATTCCTTCATCAGCAATTTCAAAACATCGTTACCGTCGCTGCTTCACAACGCTGACATTTTAAAGGTTCTGACCGGATTCACTGTTCTTTCGCCTGTTTCTTAATTTCAGGTCATCCACGCTCGCTGGGCTCTGCTCGGCGCGCTCGGCTGCCTCACCCCCGAGCTGCTGGCCGGCAACGGCGTGAACTTCGGCGAGGCCGTGTGGTTCAAGGCCGGCGCGCAGATCTTCTCGGAGGGTGGCCTTGACTACCTCGGCAACCCCAGCCTGATCCACGCGCAGTCCATCCTGGCCATCTGGGCCACCCAGGTCATCCTCATGGGTGCCGTCGAGAGCTACCGCGTGGGTGGCCTCGAGGGCTTCCAAGAGGTTGAGGACCCCCTGTACCCCGGCGGTGCCTTTGACCCCCTGGGTCTGGCCGACGACCCTGACGCGCTTGCTGAGCTGAAGGTGAAGGAGCTGAAGAACGGCCGCCTCGCCATGGTGTCGATGTTCGGCTTCTTCGTCCAAGCCATCGTTACCGACAAGGGCCCCCTGGAGAACCTGTCCGACCACCTGGCTGACCCCACCGTGAACAACGCATGGGCCTATGCCACCAACTTCACCCCCGGTGCTTAAATATAAATTTAGCTTTGTACATTCTTAATATCCTTCCATATTTCCAATCTGAGTATAATACTTCTGCGTGAAATAGCGGAATTATATAAATGAAGAGCCAAAGACACATGGTAGAATACATTTTTTTGGGTACAAACTCATAACTGTCGTTAGCCGCATCAGTGGCCAGACTCAATATGATAAATATGCGCATGAAAGAACGACTCCACTCATTGCCCTGCCTATTTACAGAAGACGTGCGGGTCCCAACTATCAATTTCCCGCGGCCAGAAATGTCCTCGCTTGTCTGCTTCTCTATGCAAAGAAAAGAAGAGTGGCGAACAACGACATGACGCCAGTAGCAACAGCTCGGGCAGGTGATGCAAGCAAACCTGCACTCCGGAAAAGCGGGGATGAGGAGGGCGAAAAGAAAGAGGAGGGAGGAGGGAAGGGGGAAGGGGAACGCGGCAAAAAAGGGGGAAGGGGGTGGTGGAGCGGGATGAGGGTGGGGTGAGTGAGGGGGGTGGTTAAGCAAGGTACATGAATGTAATCGCGTTTCTTCTTGTTCCCGTTCTGTGTGGCAACCGTTATAGACGACGGTGCGTACCAGCAGCCTTGGGTGGCGGCGGTGACAATCCCTGAGGATTCACGGAGACAGTTCCGTCGGGGTTCACAGTAACGCCTGGAGTCTGCACGCCGCCGGCTCCTATAGTCACCCCGCCGGGGATCGTAACGCCGGTACTAGGGTTAAAAATTGTCCCGTCAGAGTTCGTAATAGTTCCGTTAGGGTAGACGGTGATGCCGCCGGCTGTCGTCGATCCGTCAGGGTTCACAGTCGGTGTGATTGGCTGCCCGTCGCTTCCCAGAATAGTGCCGTTGGACAAGATTGATGTTCCGCCGACTGTCACGCTGCCAGGATTCGTGGTAGAAACGCCGACCGAGCCAATTTTTATTCCCCGGATTGAAATGTGAGCATCCGCTGGTCTAATCATCGGTAATAACAATACTCCTATGAGAAGCAACACCGTGCGGAAGACGGTTCGAGAAGCCATTCTGGACTGTAAAACGGGTTGCACTAGGACGAGCAGCCTTTGATTTGGAGAATGAAACAATGCTCCTGCAATGAATCGAATCAATCAAGGCTCGACCTCAACTCCACATATCCGCTCGCTAGCTGAAATGAGCAGCATAGGCTGGGAAACAAGAGAGACGCTCTCAGGTGCTGGGCGGTTGGGATAAGTGCTTTGCGGTGTCCTCCTGCGCCTCAGCAAATCCGACGGGGCAGCTTGGTTGGTTTGGAAGAGCTTCGTACACTGCTTGCGTGACCAATCACGAGGTCCCGCAAGTAACTTCGGTGGCGCTAGTTACGTTCTTCACAACGGTGACGATTGGTGGTGGGAAAGATAGCGCGGTGGTAGCGCAGTCAGGCTCGGCTTGTCCAGAGAGTCCATACCAAAAGTTCCAGGATTGTTTCGAAAAGCTTGTACCGTACTCTGAAATCAGGAACGCGATATTGTCTATTAGGAACGAGATACACAAGCGAGCGCTTCATCTATCCAACAAACAAAACAGTCTCATTATGCCCCCTCAAGGATAACAAAATTCACAACAGCCGACACTGTAAACTTAGATATGGGGATTCCACACTGCATGCTGATAGTTCCAAGATGTCTGTCGTTCACATGTGCTGAGCCCTTGTGGTATAGGCTTCTGGTTTACCTCCCATTGTGTCTTTGCTTTACGCAAAGAGCACAGCGACAAGCGGGGAGATGACCCCAGGCACTACGCGGGCGGGTGTTGCAATGAAGCCTGTCAAACGAAAACGGAAACGATGGAATCAAAAGGTGGTCAGTTCTAGGCAACTCGGACTCCTCCTCCTTGCCCCTTCCACCCGTTCCAAAAGAGTGTCAGAGGTCCACTGGAGATCCCCGATTGATCCTAGGGAAGGGTTACAGGCATGTTGGCCTGGGGGGTTATGGGCGCACTGACCCGCTACTTAACAAGCCCTTTTATCCCAATGGTCTAGTGGTTGGGATTCTGACATGGTATCAGAGCGAAGGTCTCGGGTTCGAATCCCAGTGTGTGCACTTCGGGCATCCCAGTGCGGGGGGGTGTCAGAGGTCCACTGGAGATCCCCGATTGATCCTAGGGAAGGGTTACAGGCATGTTGGCCTGGGGGGTTATGACCCGCTACTTAAAAAGCCCTTTTATCCCAATGGTCCAGTGGTTGGGATTCTGACAAAGAGCATCAAGTGAAAGGAAGGGTTCTAAGTGTTGCGATCAGGAGTTGATCATAACCAGGATCACCTCAGGAAGGTTCGCACACAACTAGGTAGTGGTGGTGGGCCCTTGACCTCAAATCAGAGTGAATGTAAAATGATTGAGATGAATTATACCATGCAAATACAAGCATATAAATAAGAGTACAAGGTGGAATGCGAAGCGGCCTAGCTAGCCATGTACTCTAAGAGGTACATTCCCTTATTGCAGCGAAACACAACCGTGAGACTCCAGACGGTTACGAACTGTTTGGGCAGAATTCTCGCCACTGCTGCTGCCTGATGCTGTCTGCCCTCACGGTCCAGATCCTTCGTACCGTATGACTCTTCGCGTCACTTCCGCCTTTTCGTCTTCAGCCTCGGTACTGCATGCTTCGATTGCTACTTGTCGGTAGTGCACAGTAACACTTCATCTGTTACTATTCGTAACACCCCCCTTCACTTCTGGCCGTAGCAGGTCTTGACCCGCTTGACTACTCCGCTGAGTTCGGAGCAGTGCTGGTACTGCGCGATGTGTTTGGTGCGGTTGACGAATCCAGGCTTGTTCGCGATCTTGATCGCGCTCTGGTTGTCGCAGTGCAGGCGAAAGGTAGGCGAAGTTGGGATTTTCGCCTCCTGTAGGAGCTCCTGCAGGTAGATCCCTTCGCGAACGGCTGCCATCGCGGCGATGAATTCAGCTTCCGCTGACGACAGTGCAACCAGCTCCTGTTTCTGTGAATTCCAGGAGATGGGTCCTGTTGGCTCGAGGCGGAACAGGTACCCTGTTCTGGACCGTTGATTGTCGGGATCAGCAGAAAAATCGGCGTCCACGTAGCCGATGAGGTTGAAGGAGGAGGTTGGGACTGTGGAGTAGCAGAGCCCGACATTGGGCGTTGAGATGAAGAATTGCAGCGCCCGCTGAAGATCTAGGAGATTCTCAGCCGTTGCTTTGCGGGAGTACTGAGCCAGCTGGCTCGCGATGTACGAGAGATTGGGCCTGCAGGTAACAGAGGCAAAGAGTAGGCATCCCAGCTGCTGCTAGTAAGTCTGGAGCCCAGCGGGAAACACGGCTTTGTTGTCAGGCTTGTGGTTGGGTCCTAGTGTGCGGTAAGGTGTGGAGAGTGGTGCAAATGCGATGTTGAAGCGCTTGCCAAGTTCTTCTGCATACTTGGCTGCTGAGAGATGGATGGCTTCTGGCGAGTAAGACATGTTGAGGCCGAGAAACTGCTTCACGTCGTGGGTGTAGGTGATGTCAACGCGCCCCGCGAGATTCTTCTCGAACTGCTCAAGCAGTTCGTTGCTCGATTCTGTGTAGAGGAGGTCGTCGACGTAGACCGTGAGCAGGATGTATTCACCGCGGAAATCGTGGCGATACATCCCTGGATCGTGAGGCAGCTGCTTTAAGCCTATTTCAAGCAGGATGTTGTGCAGGTACTGCCGCCAGAGCCTTGGCGCCTGTTTGATTCCGTAGAGGGACTTTTGCAGCTGGCATACGCGTGAATTTCCTTCGCCGTATGTGTGGAGCTGCTCCACGTAGATCACCGCGTCCACTAGTGCGTAGAGGAATGCGTTCTTCACATCGATTTGTCGGAGCGGGAGGTGTCGCGCGGCAGCAATGGCGAGCAGGATTCTGACAGAAGCGTGACGGCTGACCAGCGCAAATGTCTAGTCGAAGTCAATCCCGTGCCTTTGATCGTAGCTGCGCACGACCCAACGCGCTTTGAATCGCTCGATTGTGCCATCCGCTGCGGTTTTCACGCGGAAGACCCATTTGCCAGAGAGAATCCTTCTCCCCTTGATTGCGGCGCGATCAACGAGCACCCGGGTGTCGCGGGACTCGAGCGCCTTACTTTCTGCATCCATCGCCTCGCGCCACTCCTTGCTGTGTGGTCCCGTCAGTGCCTGGCGCGGATTCTCGGGCTCGATGACATGTGGCGCCGTTGAGGTGGCGGTGTGGAGCCCTAGCAGCTGTAGTCTTGAGACGGTGCTGTTGTGGCGATGCTGCGGGATGACCTCCTGCACATCATCGTCGTCGCTCTCCGGTTCAGGCGGTGGTGCCGCTGCGCCTCCGCTGCTTCCTCCTGATCCGCTGAATCCTTCCGCTCCGCCGACTCCTCCGCAGGAGGGGTCTTCGTCATCGTCGTCGTCGTCGCTGCTGCGGCGATCTCTTCCTGTGAACTCTCCTCTGGTGTCTTGCTCCAGGATGGCTGCGGCAGCTTCGTCCTCGAGCATAGCGTAGCTGTGCCCGTTGTTGGCGTAAACACGAATCGCGTTCGTCCGCTCGTCTTCACGGAACTGGCCGAGGAAGAGACGTTTGTAGAAGATCACGTCGCGCGCCTTCGTGATTTTCTGGCTGATGAGGTCCAGAATTAGCCACGCCTTGTATTCGCGGCTGATGCCGAGATGAATCCCCCAGCGCGCGCGGCTTGCGAACTTGCCGATAGTTGATGTCGGCGGGCGGTACTGCACCATGCATCCCCACACGCAGAGCATGGATGTGTCGCCCTTCATTCCCGTCCACTTCAGATGCGGGGAAAGGTTCCCGGTGATGGCGGTGGTTGACAGCATTGTGCACCCGCACGGCGTGGTGCATCGCGTACGTCCAGTACGTCGGGGGAAGCTTGGACTGCTTCAGTAGCGCTCGTACCTTTGTCATGAGCGTGCGGTTAGTGCGTTCGGCAACGCCCTGCTGTTGGTGTGCGTAGGGGAGGGAGACGTGATGCTCGATCCCTTTCTGCGACAGGTAGTCCTGCATTTCCTTGC